CGCCGGGGGGGGGGTTGTCTCGCTTTGACAGAATAAATGAATGATACTCCAAACAGCTGGGTATGATTTCATTACCACCATCCTCACGCGCACTTCCTGCCTCTAGTCCTGTTGAAGTTTCATTCACACTCACACGTAGTGCGCGCTGCGCTTGAAAAAGAGGGCGGGCTCTATCGCCCTTGCTTTAGTTGCCCACAGAAGGTACCCAAAAGAATCGGAGTGAAAACCCTTTGCCTCCTTCCCTTTTGGGACGGATCGCGATCGGAGTTCTTTGGGAGTTGTTTCCGAGTAATTTTGCGGCAGATCAGCTGTATTCCCGCGTCCTCACCTCGTGAGGTATCGTGGAGCGCCAGGCGCGTAAGTTGTTAAGGGGAGGAACGGCGCTTTAGCGCCCAGACGGATCTGATCTGCGCCCTTCCCATTCTTGCAATTCCTAGATAGGACTATCCCAAAGTTTAAGCGAGTTCAGAAAAGGGATTTAGTCCCCGGGAGCCTGGGGCGATCTGCTCTCACGGGAGCCTAAAGAACGTTGCGTAAAGGTTTCATCCGCGCTGGGTTGCATAATTTACTCCAGAGAAGGCAGTTGCTGCAGAGAAAACGCAGAACAAACATCCTTGATGGGATAACGGGTGGATCGTGGGTTTGTGGATTGCGGCCCCTAAGGCTTCGGCCAGACTCGACGGGGCTCATCCCCCACTTCCCGGCTTTCTTTTTAAATCTATATTTTAGTTACGGAATGTAACCAACTAACGGGGCTGTGAATGGGTAACAGCTGGATACGATACTTCCCCTTGATGTTTCATTATCCACCTATTCCCACCGAGGCCTCGGACGTCCTCAGAAGGGGCGCGATTTCCATACCCAAAGAAAGTTGCTCGCGGGGGCGGGGCGGCCTAATTGCCCTCGGGTGCGCTGCTTCGAGGCAAGCGGGGGGGCGAGAGACCGCCGTTTGTTAATCGCCGATTAGGGAAGGGGCGAGGCGCTCTTTGGAATTCGAAAAGGGAAAGAAGCGGCGCGATTAACTGCCCTCGCTCGCTTCCACCCCCGAACTTTATCGCGTTGGGTATTTTCCACTCTCCTCCGAAGGGTTTTCCACCCAGGAAAGATCAAAAGCCCAGGAGAAGCTCTGAGCAGAGATCATTAGCGCCTTGCAAGCCTTCTCGGAACAAATGGCTGATGAGCTCAGCTCGAAAAGGAGCTCTGTGATCCTCAGCTTCGAGGGAGTTGTTAATTCAGCCTAGCCTTCGGCCTAGATCCCTAACCAGGATAGCTTGATCCGGAGTTCAAAGACAGCCAAGGACAGTACAATGGCAACAGTTGGGGATCCATAAACCACTTCCATGTGGTTCTTCAAGATGAATGTGGAAATCCAAATTAAATCTGCTAATTGTTTACATTTAGGAAAACCTGTAGTTCTCAACAAGTAAATATAAGTTCCCAGTTTGCTTCCAGGTCCAATTCAAGGTGTTGGTTTTGACCTTTAAAGCCCTTCATGGCATGGGGCCAGGTTATCTGAGGGACCTGCCTGATCTACTGGGGCGACCTCTCCCCAGTCACATCAGCCCACCCCATTAGATCAGGCAGGGAAGGTATGCTATGTGTCCCATCTGCCAGGGACTTGCATTTGGTGGGTCCCAGGAGGCCGGCCTTCTCTGCCGTGGCTCCCTCCTTGTGGAACATTCACCCCCCTGAAGTGAGGCTTGCCCCTGTCTTTTAGGAAGTCCCTCAAACCTGGTTGTGTCATCAGGCCTGGGGGTCTTTGGGAACTGGAGACATTCTTAGATGGCTCC